GTGGAACTCAACATATATTTTCTTTCTTAAATTCTTTCCTTTTTTAATTGACATACAATTGTACACATTTATATGACACTGTAATATTTCAATACACATATAGATAATGTACAACGATCTAGTGGGACAATGAGCATTCTGTGTCACCTACCTCAATGTTTGTTATTTCTTTGTGGTGGAAATATCCAAAATTCCTTCTACCAAAGCTGTTGTGAGATAGTACTTTTCATAGATATTCTAGCAGATCTTTTGCAATTTCTTTTTTGGACATTTTAAGAATTCCTTTGTAGTACTCATGTCAATCATATGCGTCTGTGAATTGCTTGACATTTCTAGCAAATGTATTCACAGTAACTGAGGGGCGTACTTGCTTTATCTAAAATTAATGGAAAAGCTTCAAGAATTTCAAGCAGCACCCTCATGCCTGTATGTGTACACATTTGTGTGTGGTGGAGTATGCTCACAGGCTGAATCCACAAGGTATCTATGTTCGGATTGATGGGAAGAGCAGAGCTGTAAGCGAGATTCTCTGCAGCGCAGGCACAGAGCAGAAAGCTGTGTGGCTACCTTGCCTAACTGGACAGTGCACTAATTAATACTGTCAGAATTCTGGTTAGGCAGAGATTGTAGCTTTATGTTATAAATGCTGGCGAGTCTGTAAGAATAAATGAGCTAATGCTGTAGTAACAACGTGCTGTGGCAACTGTATGAAGACACCAGTTCTTAGCAGCACACTGGAACACCCCAAGGTGGCCATGGTCCTGGTTGTCTGCTGTGTGTGGTGATTCCAGCCTCAGTTAGCTGCTGCTGAGAGGAGGGACAGTGGCAAAGCACTCAGTGGTTTGCACCCAAACAAGTCCATAATATTTCAGAGGCCTAACCAATCACCTGACTTAGATCAATATGTATGGGGTTGAGAAACATAATTCCTTCCCGGGAAGGGGTAGAAAATAGCTTCCAAGTGAACTGACAGTGACTAATTCATAGCGCATAGGAATAGAAGTGGGACAAGCAAGACTTTCCATAGGCAGGTTTGTCTTAAGACTACCATTCTGAGAACTTTATTTCATGCTCTCCAATTCCAAATTCTAGTTCTAAAATCATGCGGTTAATGGTCTCCATCTCACTGATCCGAGTAACATAGTCGACCATAGCTCTAAACTTTCCAGTGTCCTTTGGGAAACAGAACTACACAGTACCTTTGTGGCCTCCGGAAGACTCGCTGAGCCATAAACCTTGAGTGATCGTTTGACAAAAACTAGAAATATAACTCTTCCCTGAAAGTCAGGACAAACGCACAAGCTCAAGTTTTTATCCTACAAATATTCTAAATTTGCCTGGAGGTCCCCACTGCTAGGCGTGGCTTACATGCTATATTCATTTCTAGGTATTATATAGAATAGATAAATTAATTCTAAAATCAGTTTCCCAGATCAGATAGTAGTCTTCAAAAGTGCCAAGCACATTTCAATAAAATAAATTCCATTGATTTTTCCCATCAACATTCCTTGCTAACGTCTGCTTGGCCTTGTGGACATCGTCCTCCGTGTCAGAAGCTGCTCACAGAACCAGCACACACAGTCCCTTTGAAGACGGATGAGCCACTGCCGTGGACGACAAGTTCCACTTGAGTCTCTTTGTTTTTTAACTACTGTAAGTGATAAAATTGTAGGCATCATTGGAAAACTGTGCTACAGTTTGGTACATGTACCCATGCGTGATATTTACATCAGGCTGCACATTTATTATTTCTTATGTTGAAAACTGTTGAAACATTCATCCTGTTGAAATACAGCGTGCCATGTTGTCCACAGTTGCCCTGCCACCGTGTAGCACAACAGATCCTCCCGTGCATCCAGCTGTGACCCAGCCCCTGAATGAATGCGTCGCCACTCCTGCCTCTGCAGCCTCCGGTACCACTGTCCCGTTCTCCACTTCTGTGAGATGAGCATTTTTAGACCCGTGCGCGAGCTTAGTCATTTGGCACTAACTTTCTGTGCCTGCCGTATTTTGGTCAACACAGTATTTTGGTCCAGCCCCTTTCATGTTGCCAGACATGATGGCGTTTTATGATTCCTCTGGCCGTCCGGGGTTCAGCTGCCTGTGTGTGCCCCCCTTCCATCCTCCGCTTGACTCTGTTCCCGCCGAGGTTGCTTGCATCGCCTGGCTGTTCCTAGCAGTGCTGCGAACCAGGAAGCCTGGCGTGTCTGAGACAGGTCTGTGTCCTGAATGGCCCCTGCAGCAGTCCTATCATCATTAAGTGTATGCACTAATTTGCTCTCCCACCACCAAAAGCAAACAAGCGTCCCCTCCCTCCGCGTCTCTGCCTGCATTTGTCCCGTTCGCCAGTTTGGTACCAGCGGTTCTGGTGCCGATCTGCACTTCCCTGGTGAGTGGATGTGCTGACAGAGAGGAGGTTCCTGCTGCTTTGCTTTTGGAAGGCGACTTCCGACTTCCGGGCTGCTCTCAGCCCCTGCTCCAGACTCTGCTCCTCCCACAACTTTCAGCCTGCAGCTGGTGGACTGGAAGCCTAGCAGACCTGCATCCGGGGACGCGGGAAAGGGGCTCAGCCTCCTCCGTGCCCCTCAGAGCTGCCCTCCTCCTTTTTCCTTCTGAGTGACCCAAAGAAACATCCTAACAAGTGTATTGTAAGCTAAACCCTCTCAGCCTGGCCTTCAAAAGAACCCAGTCTGAGACAGCCTGTGAAAATCCTTCTATTACTCTGCCATAAGGTAAGACCAAAATACCAAAAATGTTAGGTGTATAAACTAATATTCGCATTTAAAATAAAATCTCCCATCAAATTTTAAAATTATGACATGATTTCCATAAGGAATTGGAAATCATTTTTCTTGCTCTGAATATTGTCCCTACTATGATAACTACTAAACATTTTAATTTTGCGTTTTGATTATAGTGATTGTACTTTTGAAAAATTTATTAATCAATGCTATTTAACTTCGTAGACAGACTGTAATGTGAAATGAACCTACCGGGTGTTCCTGCGTTGTTGCACGGACTCATATCTCACTGTGATATTGGCCTAACTGCCCAAGAATGTGCCCCTCGTCACCACGGTGCATCATCAAGGGACCAGCTCTGGGCAGCAGAATAAGCAGGAAAGAGCAGAGAAGACTGGTTTATGCCCTTGGAGGTGTTACTATGAATCTTTTAACAGTATTGATTTTTTTAAAGCCCTTATGTGACAGAGAATAATTGAATTGTAATTGTACCCAGGTCTTCTCTGCGACAACACTGCAGCGTGTTGTAATTTCCCCTAAAGCCTTTGAGTGTCTCTATAATTTCTACAAATAATCCAAATATCATGTATGCCTTATCATTTTATTTGAACCGTAAACCAAATAGATTACAAAGTGTACTTTTGTTCAGAACATGCCTCAATGTTTCGCGTTTTATCAATGTCCAAGTTGAAGTAAAAGCTATAAATATCCCATCCTATTTAATTTCCGTTCAATGTCCCCCACAATGCCTCATGTTCGTTTAGTCTTTTTGTAGAGACTGCCGTGCTTGGTCAGGAATTTCCACAGCAGAACGAGTGGTTATTTCTTCACATTTGTACTGCTTCTGTCCGTATTCCACATTCCGTAGAGGGTGCAAGGCTGTGTCCACACCAAGAGCGCAAAGACAGGGTGATACGCTGTGCAGTGATGAGGCTGCCTGCGAAAACGTGCATACAGGGCAGGGCGGAAGCCTGTGAGCGGGATTGGAAGGCAGAGATTCCTCTTTATAAATTATGAAGGACTGACTATTCAAGGTTAAATATTGCTGAGCATTTTCTATTTGCCACTGTTTCCTAGGAAGGGGCTCGTGATAAAATATCAAATGTTTCGCCTTCGAGCACTTCCATTTGGTTTCTAATTGTTTAGGCTGGAAACGTCTGTGAGCACCGATTCCAATGTTAAGTTCATGGTGGTGAAGCTGGAAATTGACTGGGGGGCACATTCACCGCACTGCTGCACAGTTAAATCGCTACTTTGAGGTTTTATGATCGAAGCTCACACTTCTCCAAACCTTAGGGGTGTGTGTATGTGCGTAACAATATCAAGATTGTACAGGTTTTATCTAAATCTACTAGTTTTCTATTTCCCCGCAATCTATGAAATATTCATGGTTGTTTTCCGCTCGTTAGGAGAGTTGGCATCACAATGTTGGCAGCGCCATATTTTCTATAAAATGGAATGGCCAGATGCATCCTGAAAATGTGATTAAATCATTTATAAATTGAGAAGACGTGAAGTCGATTCTCTGAATGATTCCATAGCAAACTACTTTTAGGAAGTGAGAAGTTAATTCATCTAGAAGTGCACGATACACTCCCTGATTCTGCAAATGTCGGCTCCCTTTATCCCTCAAACAAGGGAGGCAGGAGAGAGGAGGCCGGTGGCTGCACAGGGGAAGCGAACGAGATGCGGGCCCTCGGGGCCTTGCCCCCTCCTGCTTGCATTCTTTCATGAGGACAATGGGGAATGTGACAGAGGCTGCCTTAGCAGTCCACTGTTCCAGGCTGCACATGTACCCAAAAAACATCTTTAATCCTCCTCTGTAGGCTGGAGTGATCATCCCAGCATTCCTTCACAGGGCTTCCCGGGGTTAAACGTGTGAGCACATTAGTAATATGCCTGATTCCCACATGGTCCTAAATTTGTAATGCTCAGGGGCAGAGGGAGGTATTTCCCTATAACATTCACCAGTGACAAACTATGTTTCCATCTATCGTAAACGGAAGGGTGCCGCAGTTCCCCAAATTTAGGTCCAACATTGGATTTGAAAATAGAATTTTTGCTGATGCATTGAAAGGGGCAGATGAGTTAACGCTGCATTGCGCTCTATTAAATCCACCAGAAGTGGGTTTTTGTTTGGTTGGTTGGTTGGTTTTGGTTTTGGGTGGGTTTTTCTTGTTTGTTTTGTTTTGTTTTGTTTTGTTTCGGGGATGGAACTTGGGACCTTGAGATCTTGCGCTTGCAAGGCAGGCAGGTGGTGGCACCACTGAGCTAAATCCCGGGCTGGGAATGTTATTAGAGACAGAAAAGGGCTGCAGGAACACAGAAAGGAAAGTGTGCCAACCTGGAGGCAGAGATGGAGAGATGGCTCTGGAGCCCAGGAATGACACCAAGTCTTGGGTGTTGTCCGTGGAAGCCAGGAGAGTCACAGAACCGTTTTTCTCTCACAGCCTGTCAGCAGGAACCTGCCTCACCAGCTGCTGTCTGTGGGTCTGTGGCCTCCTGAATTGTAGACGATTTCCATTCTTACAAGCCAGCCAGTGTGTGGAAGTATGTTACGGAAATGTCCAAGAAACTGATAGAATACCCTCTGTCATTCGCTATGTAGAACAAAGCTGTGAAGTGAGTTTGGTTACCAGGGTTTTGCCTTCATTCGGTGATGGAGAAATTGGAGGCGTACAGGTACAACATCAAGCCTTGACACCTCCACGTGCTCTTCTTAAGGCCTGCAAAGAGGGAGTTCAGCGTTAAGAATCAGCTTCAAAGCAGTCAAAGTCTCCGTGAAACCCTGAGCTCCTCAGCCTGAGCCTCATAACCCTGCTGGCTCCGGACGCCAGTCCCATTCCGGGAGTTGCTCCGGCGGATCTCCGCCCATGGAGAGAAAGTCCCAAGGAACCTAAACAGAAACACACTGATATTTTTTAAACTATTACTTTAAAAAGTGGAAGCTTTTGATAAGAAATTTTCTTGAGTCACATGTGATAAGCCTCAATTAAGAAATAAGCAACACATTGATTATTTAAACTATTATTTTGTTCTTGCTATTGAAGCACCAAACGTACTTCTGTAAGTTCAAAAAACAGAAAAAATTTCATCAAAATCAGTACTCAGAAGGGCCTAGGTGTACCATCTCCCCCAATAGAGATATGAAAATGAACTACAAAAGTGATTCTGGATTACAAATACGAATCCAAAGCTAAACATACCATCTATTATTTCTTCTAGCATTTTGTATCTTTTCATAAATGCAAAGGTTAAAAAATTCAGATCTTTTTACAAATACAATTTAACACCCCTCATATCCTGAGTACTGCATATGACTTTTCAATTAAGAAAAGTCTAAAACTAAATCCTACAGTGGATTTAATTAGCAAGATTTCTGAGTGGTTATTGCATTTAATGGGAAATTAGTGTTGTAGAATTGAAGCACACTGAAATTATGTCAATTAAGTTTTCATCTCAATTATAGCATGCTAAAAGAGGGAATTCAGAATCACTTGGAGAGCTGTATCTTAATAATGGGGACTTGAATTTATTCTAGAAATCACTCGATGTCATTTCGTGGGTTACAACTGCTCAGCGATTGCATTCCGTCTCTTATTCAATAAATAATCCAACTGCTTGCGTGACCATAACATCTTTTGATAACTATATGAAGAAAATTCTTGAATAACGATTTTACTACCAAATTATGACTTGGAATTATTTAAGTAAATAACTAGAATGAATAACTCACATGGGACTCTTCATCATCACTGCTACATTTCAGAAAATTTTCTTGTATACACATCAGTCCTAAATAGAGGAAAACAGCAGAGGATGAGCTGCGGGAGCTGCCCCACTAAGTAACCAAAACAAGATGCACCGTGAAGAAGCCTTAGGTTATAACATATGCCCTATCAGAACTTCAATAGAAAGTCCACATTTTAAATACATTGTGATCTTTTCATCTCACAATTCTAGGTTGAGTTGTGTACACACAGGGGGCTGTCACCATGTGAAATCTTCCCTGAAGCAGGGAGAGATCTGGGCTCGTGGACCAGAGGGGCAGAGCCCACCATGAGGTCCCAGGGAGCACCCACTTGAGCAAGGCCCTGGGGGACCCAGAAGCACACAGACTTCAAGAAACAAGCCCAGTCTCCATGGAAGAGCTGTTGTGTTGTTTCCACCAGAGTGAAAGACAGTAGCTCCCAAAGCCTAATCTCAATAATATGACATTCAAAGATTAGGAATTTACTTTTTCTTTTGGTACCAGGGATCGAACTCAGAACCTTGTGCTTGTGAGGCAGATGGCAGAACCACTGAGCTAAATCCCTGGCCCTGGAATTTAGACTAATCCTTCATGGGCAGGAGACTCTGCCTGATCTACCCGATGAGGCCTTCTTTTCTACTCACAGAAAATCTTTGACTAAGAACTTTAAACCGGGAGCTGATCTGCTGAATTTAACTCAGTAGCTGGTTCGAATGGGCTGGGATTTTGCCTGTGACAGCTCAACTGATGAACTCACCCATAGTTCAAGATGAATGAATTATGAGAGACAGAATATGAACATCACTGTCTGTATCTGAGATGGTGGCACCTAGTGATTTCAATTTAAATGCATGCATTCAGCTTCTCCAGTCTAGTACTTGATGCATTTTGGTAAAATAGAGTAAGAAAAACAGATCTCACAAACATGTTTTAGGAGACATACATTCCTTTCTATTACATACAGCAACCTATCTGTTAACAGCTGCCAGAGTAGTTAGCTCTTTTATCGTTTTAGCATATTTTAATATAATATTGCAAAAATTACGGAAAAGTCTAAAAGTAATGTGGTGTTTATATGACCTTCTCCATCAATATACGATGGAGAGAGGATCTTGTGGAATCTGCTGGTCTTCTGGAGGCCTTAATGTCCTGGACCACTCGAGGTAGGAACTGTAAAGGGAATTAGTCTGGCACGGGGTGGCTCACTGGGAAGCCGCCATCCCACGACTGCTGGGCACTTTGCAGAGGGGAAGGCCCCGGCCTGGCCTTTGCACTCACAGGACAGCACTGGCTTACACACCGTCAGCGGACTTCCAGTCAGTCCTCTGCTCCTGCACCCTGAGCTCGCCTCCCCACCACCTGCCATGGGACCCTGCATCACCAAGAGGCCCAGCAGTACCTCAGTGTCCCTGCGGCCAGGGTCCTCCCCTGTTCTGTGCCTAGACCCACAGAGAGTTCCTCCTTTCTCCTTAGTTCTGATGTAAGAACCCAACAGCTCATTCTAGCTCTACCTACACTGATGAGATTTGCTGCTCCATTAGAGAAGCTCTCCCTGCCCTAAAGACAAAACCTCATCCTTAGCAACAGCAAAAGGGTTGCTTTCTGCTGAAGAACTGGAAAAGCAACCAGTAAGAAAATGGCGGAGCTCTGCTCCCTGACGGCATAACCAATTGGCTCCAAGGCAGGGTGGCAGAGGGGCAACAAGAGCCCCTAATAGCGTCTTTCTGCCCATTTTATCTCATCCAGACCACTGGGCCTAGGGCGGTGCCACGCCAGTTCTCACTGTAGTGACCTAGTAATCACACACCCTTAATTTCAGCATCACACTCCAGATTCAGCCACTTCTGGAAAAGAAAGGCCCACCTCATCCACATGAGGCTTTGGGGGACATCTACACACAGGCCATGATGGTCACCCTTGCTGCGAATGCAGCCCCTTACCCCCACAAGTTCAGTCCTAACTCCTTACTCCGGCAGACGCAAAAACCACAAGTTTCTCCTCCCCGTGCCACATTGCGCTCTGTCTATTTTGGGGACCTATCATTCACCGAAGAAGCCCCCCTTACCCCACGCCAAGCTAGCTCTCTATGAGTCAGAGCTGAAATCTCACTCAGCTTCTCACCACTCAACACCCTCATGCTTTGTCCCCGCGAACCAGGCAGAACTCCAGCCCGTGACCAGCAGCAGGCTTTCTGAGAGGCCGCCAGCAGCGTGCAAGCCCCGCAATGTGGCAGGAGGACTGCTGGAAAAGTCGGGGCTCCCGACCTGCGCTGGGTCCTCTGTCCCGCACAGAACTGCAGCTGCCGGCTTCTGTTTCCGTCGTCCTCCGGGGCGAAGAGTCTTTTAAACCTTCACGGTTCTCCCTCAACAGCAACTCAAATTCTTCTGGTGCCACTGATCCCCTAAAGACATGAAATGGGAGCGAGCAAGTAGTAAACTTTAAAACCTAATTTTATATTTAAAATCGTGTTTAGGAAATGGAAATACAATTTTAACATAGCAATCATATTTAATGAAAAAGTGAGTCATTCTGATTACATTCAGGAACTGAGTTACAAGGCTAATATCTAACGTGACATTGGAATTTCTCCTTAGTATTAAGAAAAGAGAGGACCGGGGATTTAGCTCAGTGATTCTGCCTCCTGCCTCACAAGCACAAGGTCCAGAGTTCGATCCCCAGTACAAAGAAAAGAAAGAAAAAAGAAAAGAAAATAGCAGATGTATGGACTCAGAGAAATAATCATGATTATTGTATAGTTCATCTACATGTAAGTGACTTCTCCCAACTCTATAAATGATTAATGTATGTTCCCAGATGTTGACCAATACCAGTCCAATTTATCAAAATTAACATATTTTTCTATATTAGCAACAACAAATGTGAGATTATGATAACAAAGATGCATTCACAAATTTAAAAACTGTGGAGTGTTTAGGAATCAATCTAACAGAATATACAGTCTTTACACTGTGCACATTAAAGAGGAGCAAAGTTTAGAGAGCTTATACTTACAGTCAGTGAGAATTTGTAGAGTGTTTAGAAAAATCATGGATAGATATTCAGTGACATAGTGCTCCTGCCTGAGATGGGGGGGCTGGGCTAAAAAATTGGGTAAAGAAAAATACTTTTCAAAATCTCAGTGACTTAAGCCAATAGATTATTTTCATACACACTACGTGTCACCATTTTCTGGGTATTGTCAAAGTGGTGAGAAGGTGGGATCAGTCACTGGAAGTGAAGGAGAGGATTTTGAGGGGGACTCATGGCAATGTACGGTAGAGAATAGTAAATTTTTTATTTATTGCATTAAAACTAAGTCACCGCCCAGAGTACAGTGCATTTTACATAGATGCAGTGAATCGTGTGCAGTGATTATTCTCATGGAACACTGAGATAAAACAATGGATAGGAATTTGCCTCACATATTGATTGAAAACTGATGCAAAAGTAAAAGTTTCTGCTCAAATAGTCTTCACTATGCTTTCGTATTAGATGAGGACAATGGGGCTCAAGGACCAATGGGTGACTTCGCCTGCAGTTCTCGGCTCACTGCCTGCTCTGGAGATGCAGGCCACTATCGGATTCTTATCGTTAGGTTTCTATTTCTGTTAGTTTTGTTGTGTTGTCCTCAGATAAGAGGACAGAGGCCTGAGGGACCCAGCCAGACTGCGGGGCGATCTTGGAAAAGCGACTGCCTCTGGAACCGCAACCTACAAACGTCACCCCGGGGTCAAAGCCCACAGCACAGGAGAGGCTTACAGCAGCAGAACGTAATCATACACATGAGAAGCTGTTTCAGGGCTATAGTTAGAACTGCCAGCTGCAAAAATCTAAGTAGACAAGGACAGAAAACCTGTGAAGGTGCTGTGAGCTTGGTTGTTTATATTTATCACCTTCCTCTGCCTCCCTTTGCCCCTGTGCCCTCCTCGTGATTATGGCCTGCAGCTGCCTGTATCTGCCTTAAATATCAGTAGAATTTTACCTGTCAGTAAAATGGAGCTCCTTCAATGTTTAAACATCAATGTTGAAGGGCTGGGGATTTAGCTCAGTAGCACCGAGCCTACCCTGCAAGTACAAGTTCTAATCCCTGGTACAAAAAAAAAAAAATCAATGTTGACTGAAAATTTTGGAATGAGATCTTTGTCACCAAAAAAAGCCAGAAGAAATCTAGGCACAGGTTAACAAAAAGTAGGGAAGTTTTCTAGAAACAAAACTTTCTTCTATTTTAAAGGAAGTTAATGCTCTAATTTTTTTAAACTACTATAATGTCCACTAAAATTGAGTGTCTATAAAATTATTACAGAAGATCTACTTGTAAGCAATATCCCGACTATTTTAATACATAGAAAAAGCTACAACATTAAATTTTAAAATGAGGCACAACTTTTGCTAAAAATTACTCTGCTGCAGCAAAATATTTAATTCAGCAGAGGACTTACTTTCTTACATGTATTAGAATTGACAAGGAAGAAACACTTGCATGCTGCACATTTCTGCAGCTGTTTCAAAATACTGAGAAATGCAGCTTACTGAGGAAAGGTTCCCTGTGGTTCAGTTTCCGGGTCTTCGGTCCATAGTCCGCTGATTCCATTGCTTCTGGGTCCATGATGAGGCTGACACCGTGGTGGGAGCGGGGGGTACAGTAGAGTTTCGTGGTGATAGGAAACAAAGACAGGAGAGGAGTGGGGACCCAGCTTCCCCTTTACAGCCCAACTAACTCTAAAGATCTAATATCTTTGTCACTGGCTTCCTCTGCTAAAGTTTCTACCATCCCCAGAAGCACGATGAACCTTTGGAGGACAATGAAAATGCAAACTGTAACTTTTACACAACTAAGTGAACTGAAAATGCTGAACCAGGCATTCAATGTATTGAGTCTAAGAAAAAAATTTCCTGTCACTAACAGATCTTTATGAAGAAAATGTATTTGCATAAAAGGTTCTAGAAATCAGACTCAGAAACTAGGCTTACTTCTATTTGCTGGGTTGGGTAAGAGGTATCCCCAGAATCATTTACAGTGTAGGGATTTAAGGAGGAGGACCTGATTTCGCCCCACAAGCAGTCATCCAGATTGTAGCTTTACATTTGAAGTCCTCTACATTATGTGAGGGCCTCGATGTCAAGAGACATTTGGTTAGAAACCAAGTAAGATCTCCAATGCCTCAACAACCCTCTCACATCTAGAGCACAGGAGAACAAAACAAGGAAGATACATCCAGCTCTCTCACCGTGCCTGTCTTTCAATTTATCTGTTGCCATAGTTTCTAATATTGAATTTTAAAGCCAGTATCTACAGTGAAAATTTACAAAACGCATACGTTTTGAAATATTGCAAAGTAAATCTAACTTCTCAAATATTTATCATTTATCCATGACAACAACATAACTTAATCTTCATTAAACAGTCTTCCAAATGGCTTATCGTTCCCAATTTGAAAAGTTTAAGTTGTGCTCTTTAATTTTAGTTTCACTCAGTATTCCAAGATGTACTTTCATTCACTTAATGTTGGTTTCTTCTTTGGGAATGACTTCAAACCACAAAATCTGATTAAGTTTAAATACATCTCGATGTATTTTGGCAAATGATAATGTTTCTTTTTATAGTCTGGTTTCTTTTCCCTGAAAATATGCCATGATAAATGAAATGACACAGTAACATTAAATACAAAAGTTGTGGCTCTTCAAGTACTGAAACCTATGCTCCAAACGCAGACTTACGAGGAAGAATTATATTCGCATCACGTCACTTCACGATGCTGTAAGAGAATATCAAGCAGCTCACAGAGAGCAGACATCCACTTCTCCAGTCCAGATGCTGGGCAGTGCAAGGCCACGGAACCACAACCCATCTCTGTTTCAGGGTGGCACCCTGCCCACAGGCCGGAGGAGAGTCCGGCTCCTGCAGGCGGCTGGAGGCATTGGTGCCTGAGGGTGCCTGCAGGACCCCAGCACCTCTCCTTGGCCACTGTCACTGTGGGAGTTAGCTTCCTAACATGGATTTGAGGGCCACCTCCAGACCACAGCAGCCACTGTTGTTGGTCCCAATTATCCATTTTCTATGTGCAAACTCTTCCCATTATCTTACTGTATATGAGATAATTCCCTGAAGATAGCAGAGGGTATTACCTGCTTATTAAATGAAATCTATGACACCATTAAAATAACGTCTAATAATATAAATTGATTATTGGTTAAGTAACACATTTACTTGAGGTTAACTTCCATGATAAAAATGTATCAGTGACAAATCTACTGACCTATTGTCTTTTGCTAAATTCTAATGTAATATGTGACTTTACACTGTTAGGAGGAATAATATTAGTGTTACATCTACATGTGGCTTGGGAATTTCACCCTAATCTCTCTTTCTGGCCAGAGTGCTAATGTGTGGAACTGATTCCTTTCTAATGAAGTTCTGTGGAAGACTGACGTCTAAAGACCTCTAGGATATATTGTTAAGGGGAAAGGGAATCATGTTCCAGACTGAATGTATCTGTGATCCTTACTTCCAAGATGACAGAAAAGAAAATAGGAAAAAATAGAACTCAAGGAGGGATGGAGGGAGGCAGGGAGGGAGGCTGATTGCACTGGGGCCGCAGCCCGGTGAAGGCTGTTGGCTGTGGAATGGAGCCCAGCAGAAGTCATCCCTGGACAGAGCAAAGCATGGGACATTTCTGCCTCCTGGACACACATGCCTGAGAAGCCGGAAGCAGCCCCAGCAGAGCAGGCAGGAGTCCGTCCCAGGAGGGAGGCTCCCAGTCTGCCTCTGGGTGCTGCCCCATGCTCCCCCGGACCCCGGCCAGGAGCTAAGACCTTGTCCTACAGAAAAGGCCTGAGAGGAATTATACTCACCACACTCCTTGTAAATCAGAGGGAAATAACAATACATATTTTAATGCTCAGACCCAAAATAGGTAAAGATTTCAGAATGGTAGATAAAAATTAACAGGAAAAAGTATGGGTCTGAGTGAGGTAGGTTAGTGGGGGTGGGTTCTTTGTCGCTTCTTTCACAGCTTACTCTTTCGGAAGTATTTATTACTATAGTACTTTTTGAGTACACATTACCTAGTAAAAATTGTGCTTACTTTCTGTAAACTCTTATTCAAACATATCACCTCTTCACAGGTAAACCATTTACCAGATAACAACTATAAAATGATCACCCTTAAGGAAAGCATGAAACGGTGTAGGGAAATAGCTTCTAAGCCTTGGATTTTTATCTTTCCACCATCTAAAATGCTCTACTAAGGAGCTTGTTTTAGTCACATTGTGCCTAGCCTTCTATATGCAATGTTACTGGAAGTGAGATTTTCCATGGGACATTAATTTGTAAACTTTTAGGTTGAAAGGTGAAAACAAAGCGCAGCACTGGCTCACAAACTGGGGACCTTTTCTCAGCAAAGGCCAGGTGCAGCAGGCTCTGAAAACAGAAAGGCAGCGTTTACTTTAAACAATGACTCACCCCTCCCTGTGTGTGTCAGCTCTCTGAGTAATTTACCAGGCTGAAACTGTGGAATCCAAGACGAAGTGGAGGGACCCCCACCCCCCTAGAGTGGTTACTCTTACCCCCAATCACAAAAGGAAGATTTAAAAACCTAAATCTAATATATACAGCTATTGCTGTAATAAACCCAAATAACTACCTCCCGCTGCTTTAATGAAGAGATCCTGTAGTGAATTTATGCTTTCTGATTGAACTGGACTATGATACAAAAGCAAACAAAAATTCAAAGAGAAACAGAAAAATGAAAGTGAAGTATAAACATTTCTAAATGCTAATCATCAAACTCTGAAAATGAAGCCCATCAATTGTGTCTCCTTATGTAATTCTGAGTGGCCATAGATAGTATTAAAAAGCATATTGAAATTTTGAACACAATACTTGCCCCTACAGTCCAGTTCTAAAATCTAACAAGTTATGCAGTGAAAATGAACTGTTCATCAATTCTTGAACATTTATATGCTCATGTGCTTCTAAGTTTTAAACCATAGAAGGGCTAGTGATTTAGATCTTTACTCTTAACATTTCTAAACTGAGAATCACTCAACCATAAAATGTTATTTTATGTCTGGAATGAATTTTGCACTGGTGACACCTTGTACACCAACTGGCATGACCCTGGGGACAGACAAAGACTGGGGTAGTCTGAGGCTTTGTTCCCGGGGGAGTTTCCTATTCACTTACAAGGTCTTCTGCAACAACTGCAGAGGACTCCGTTACTTCACACCCCTCCCTGAGATTTTGTGCCTGTGCATGATTTATCTGGCATCTTTAAATTTTGCCTATTTTTAACTTGCCTCTCATCACCTTTTACCTAACTTTATCTTCAGCCATTCTCAGAGGCTTCCCCACAGATTGCTTTCATTCTACACAATTATGTCCATGCTTTGAGTAGAGAATAAGACTATTTCTGTAAAAATGAAGCCAATGGTACATGTCGAAAATTCCAGAACTGGGGAGGCTGAGGCAGGAGGATGGCTGTGAGATCAGGGATTGAAATCGGGACCTTGCATTTGTGAAGCAGGCAATGGCACCACTGAGCTAAATAAATGCCCAGCAAAAATTCTCATTTTGGCTGGACACTTAATTTCCTAGCTAAAAGACCATACTTTTCATCCTGTATTATAGTGCTTAGGAATGCAGATCAATTGATATAGAGATACCAGAAAAAAACTCCTTGAAAGGATCAAGTCATGCCCTTCTTCAGATCCTACATCCCACTGCCTGGAACTTGCGTGAAAGGGTTAGAGTCCAGCAGCTCTTTTGTGTAATACTGTCTTGTTTTCTGCCCGATCTAGTTAAATCTGATACTCTGACCCCACATTCTTCCACAAGGCTTCACTCACTCTGTGAGTACTTCACTCACTCTGTGGTTTTCCAGTGTTAGTGACACCTACACTTTCCACTTGTGGAGGTTTTTAGTAAATCAAATCTAATCTTAATATCATTTCAAAAATGAAGTAAATAGCATTTGAACCCAAAGGAATAAATGACGTAGGTCTTAAAGGAGTTAGCTTTATGAAATGCTTGCAATGTTCCTTCCAAACACATTAAAACTTTTTCATAAATAAATGCATTCATAATTTGGAGGAAATCTTGTACTAAACAATGTGCTTCTTAGGGAACGTGCACTACATTTTGCTATTTGACCAAACATCTGACACGGTGCTCAAGGTGCATCTGATAAAAAGATTTTGGCATATAAGCAAATTCCACACCAAAAAAGAAAATACTGTTGTTTTTCCTTTCTTAGGGTCATGTGAAAATGTTTAAAAGATTCTATCCTGGGGAGGGCAATAACTAAACTGAGAATTTGGTCCTTGGGTGTTGCCCCATGGAGTCCCGTGGAAAAGGGTCCCCCACCCCGGAAACTCCCGCCTCTTCTCCCAGGTGCCCAGAGCCTCGCCCCAGACCCCGCTGGACTTTACCCTCGCAGCCACAGCTCAGCTCAGATCACATCAGATCAGGCACCCTTCCGCTTGTGATCGGCCGGGGCTCCGTGTCCGCCTGACCTCCCTCCTGGCCAGCTCGGGCTCCTCTGTGCTGTCTGACCTCCGGGAGGAGGACATCGCCCTGGGTGTGCTTGAAGGTCCTGCCAAGGTCATCCTGGTCCCCTCCTCTGCCTGGCCATCCCTGCCGTAGAGCTCACACCGGGGACGGAGCCGCCTCCTTGTGCTGTGGCTCTGTTCTCCCCGGAGGACCTGGGCCTGCAGAGAACCCAGAATCCCCAGAAGAATTCCGAAAATACTGATGCAAAGGGGATTTCAGACATGTTACAGCCTCCACTCAGCTCTAAAACACTGAGCTGAGCTTGTGCTG